GAGACATCATGGCATTGTTGTATTTAGATCTTTTTTAACTGTGAGGAGCAGCCAAAGGTGAGCCAGGCTCTTCTGGTGGTTGTTTATCATTGGCCTCTATCGTTGGTAGAGAAGGAAGTGGTGGCTCTCACTCAGTAAGTGAAGCTGCAGGAGGTGTGGGTGTAGTTGTATGGGGACTATTGCCGTCTCTCATTCAGTTAGACAAAAATAATAATTGAACAACCATCAACAAAGTAAAAGCACATGGACAAAAAATACACCATGCAGTCACACAGGAACAGTAACCAAAAAAAAGAAAAAAACCAAAACCCTGCAATATCTGGGGAGAGGGCAATAAGAGAAAAAAGACAGAGAAGGAGAATAATGAAGAAAAAATGGTAAAAACGCAAAAAGAAAAACAAGGAACGGGGTCAATCACGAAAAAGAAAAAAAAAATTGCAAACAGGAACAGGGAAAAGAGAAAAAGGGGAAAACTAGAACCTGGACAGGGAAGAATAAAGAATAATAATAAAAAGGACAAAATTAATAATAATAATAGTAGTTTTAAAATGGATGAAAACAAACAAACTAAAAAACAGAAAACAGAAAAAAAAAAATCAAGCCAGGGTGGCGCAGGGCACCCAGGCTCTGTCCAAGCACACAGACTGGGATGCAATTTCTGCCAGCCCAGAAAGTGGGTGGGAGTGAGGGAGACCACACCTCCGTTCACCAAGAGGGTATAGGGTATAAGGCTAACAAGGGGAATGTCCCACCTTTCCTGTCATCCAGGTCTGGAATGTCCTTGGGGTTCCTGGGAAGTGGAGCCTGTTCTTAAGTTCTTGGAATCTGGGAGAACACTGTTGCTTTAAATATCCAAAATGGTCAAGCCACTTGTAAACATTCAAAATAGCTGTGCCCTCTGGACCGACAAAAGTCCACAGCTCAGCCCGCCTTCCTCTTCGCTGCTTCCCCATTTATTCCCCAGCCATCAAAGCAATCTTCCATGTAGTCCCTGGCTAACAGGGCTGATTTTTAGGTTAATTCTTAGGTCCTACCACCACTCGGCAATATCCAAGCTGTCTGTGCTGTCAGGATCGCTGCCAGACCGTAGCTCCGTGTGTCTCCTTTTTTGGTGTTTTTCATGCAAATTGTTCTGCTGGTTGGAATTTAATCCACTTCTATATCCTTCCCTTTAAGGCTCAGGGGTCCAGGATTATCTTCTGTATCTGTGTTAATTGGTTCCCCTTTTCTTTGTTGAAGAGGGTCTGTGCAGTCTTTCTGCCTATTCTGCCATCCTACCAGAACTCATATGCCCAACTTTTAAAAGAAGTGCCATACCTTTTCACACATTATACCATTTTATAGTCCCACCTGTAATGTGTGAGAGTTCCAATCTCTCCATACCCTCACCAGCCTTTGTTGTTTTCTGACTTGTTGAACTTTGCTGTTATTGCTTGGGTAAGATGATATCTTATTGTTGTTTTGATTTGCATCTCTCTAATGGCTAATGATCATGAACATTTCTTCATGTGTTTGTTGGCTGCCTGAATATTTGGTGACGTGTCTGTTCATGTCTTCTACTTGTTTTTGAATTGGATTGTTTGTTTTTTGATGTTGAGGTGTTGATTATAGTTTTTAAATAAATTTTAGAGATAAGTCCCTTATCTGATATGTCATTGCCAAATATTTTTTCCAATTTGTAGATTCTCTTTTACTTTTTTGGAGAAGTCTTTTGATGTACATAAGAACTGAATTATTAGATGTTTTTGTTGTTGTTATGTGCCGTCGAGTCAAACCCGACTCATAGCGACCCCTCCTTGGGTTT